GTTGATGCTTTTGAACTGTGGTGTTGGAGAAGACTCTTGAGAGTCCTTTGAACTGCAAGTAGATCAAACCAGTCAATCCTCGAGAAAATCAGTCCTGAGTATTCATTGAAGGGACTGATAACTAAAGCTTCAATACTTTGACCACCTGATGTGAAGAGCTGACTAATTGGAGAAGACCCTGATACTGGGAAAGATTGAAGGCAGGAGAAGGGGACGTCAGAGGATGAGATGGTTGGATGGCATCACCGACTCGATGGACATGAGCAAGCTCCAGGCGTTGGTGATGGACAGGGAAGCCTGATACAGGGTCACAAAGAGTCGGACATGACTGAGCAACTGAACTGAAGCATTACAGCACAGGCCAAAATGTTTCAATATCAAATGTATATGAATCTTAAAAAGCTGAAATCATATGCCTTTAATTATGAATTTGCAGACTTCAAATTTCTTTTGTTTGGTACCTGAACTATATATTCTGATGTCAGTTTATTGATACGGTCCTTGCTAAAAGCAGAAATGTAATCATCCTACTTTTTTTTCTCCCTTGAAAATAGTTGTATTTACGTAATTTTAAAAAAGGTCCTTTTCCTCCACAAATAGCACATTGTATTGCTTACATGATGTTTTCTAATCCTCTCTTTTGGTCCAGCTATTTTGAAAGGGATAAAGTTATAAATATTTCTTTGCAACAGGCATTAAAAATATTTTTTGAATATATAAATTGAATATGTATATTAAGGAGAAAAAAGGCTTTTTGTTTGTGTATGTGTGGTAACAATGGTTTATTATTAAAACTTGGGTCTGTGTTTATTAGTAAAATAGTCTCTTTCAAATAAAACTATTCTTTGTTTTTTTCCCTTAGCTTTAACCATGTATACATAACTCCATTGAAAATAAATATGACTTCACATCCTTTTTAACTGAAGGTAGAGTTTTCAGTATGTCATCCTAGATTGCAGAGTTTCTTTCTAATGGAAGTAAAACTTTTTAGTTTCTGGTACTTGTTAGTACTCTAATTTAGCTATTGTGTTGCCACAAAATAAATTCTCTGCAGGAAAGCTGTGGCTTCTGGTATTATATAATATATAATAAAATATAATAAAAATAATCTGTTTCAAGGAAGGCCTAAGTAACCTAGATTATTTTCATTTAATATTTTTTAAAAATTATGAACTACTTTATGCTTTTCAAATTAGTAACCACTGCTTCCTTTCTCTTTTTACATACACTAGCATTCCATCATTTTTTTTTTAGCTTTATTATTTATTTTTGGCTGTGCTGGGTCTTCGTTGCTACACGCAGGCCTTCTCTAGTCTCAGCTAGCAGTGCCTTCTCTCCAGTTGCAGTATGCAGGCTTCTCATTGCAGTGACTTCTCTTGTTGAAGAGCACTTAGGTTCAAGAGTGCACTAGCTTCAGTAGTTATGGCACGTGCCTGCTTAGTTACCCCACAGCTAGGGTTCCCAGACCAAGGTTTGAACGCACGTCCCCTGCTTTGGCAGGTGGATTTTTAACCACTGGACCATGAGGGAAGTCCAGCATTCCCTCATTCTTAATCTGATTTTCACCCCAAGCATCCCATTTTCTCTTTGTACTTTCCTTGTACTCCCATCCCCCTACTATTGTGCGTGCGTGCGAAGTCACCTCAGTTGTGTCCAACTCTTTGTGGCCCTATGGACGGTAGCCCTCCAGGCTCCTCTGTCCATGGGATTCTCCAGGCAAGAGTACTGGAGTGGGTTGCCATGCCCTTCTCCAGGGGCTCTTCCCCACTCAGGGATTGAACCCCCGTCTCCTATGTCTCCTGCATTGGCAGGTCGATTCTTTACCACTAGCACCACTTGGGAAGCCCTGCTGCTATGACCCAACCCCAAAAGTAGGTCTTATTATCAAATCAAAAGGTGAGTGGACTTTCTGGAGAAAGAGGGAACTGTTTTATTTTTCTGTTCCTACTTTCTGTCAATTCCAGCAAATGACATTTAGGACTTCTAGTCCTTTTCTAGTCAATTTCCTATATTGTTTTTTCCCCTTTTGGCCATATAATAGCTTATCTTTCTCTCCTAGTTGCACTTTAGTCACCATATGCCTATTAGTCAAAGTATTTTAATGGTGGCTTTTTGTATATTTGGCATATCATTATTAGGATCAATAATAGTTACCAGTGTACAACTTCAGGGCTCACCTCTGCCTGGTTGAATTCTATTACTACTAAAGATTGTGATTATCAAAAGTTACAGGTTTTCAGCTCTGTGGAGGGAAATCTGTATTTCTCCCGCAAAGCATCATGTGCGTATTGTGTCAGCCTTCTGAGAGTCTAAATACTAGCCATCTGGGCTATTGGACTATCTGGGAATGTTCTTAAAGTACAGAAAAAGTTAAGAATCCCATCCAGTTACTTTCTTACGGACAGTCAGGTGGAGGTTATCATACATTTGTGTTGGGGAGCCCTCAGCATTTGGATTTGGCCATGACCTGCAGGACCTGATGACAGCTTACCTTGCAGGGAAGGAGAGTCGCTCCCAGATAGCCCTCACGAGTGGCCCTGGAGCAGGAAGTGATGAAGCAGATCTTCCTGGTTTGGGAGGAACCTGAGGTGGACCTCTCGTCCTGAGTCTGGAAGGTAAATTTGTTGTTACCTGTAAATGATGGTTCTGCTAGTCCATGCTATGCCAATCCAGACTTTCAGAGGTATCCCTCCTGCCAGCAAGAGAAGACAGATGACTTGGCTGAAGATGGCTCTCGAGCCCTGGGTCATTTAGTCTTCCACACTTAAGAATATCCATTTTGAACAAAAGGGCAGCTGTATCTTTAAAATTCCTTTATTATTTCAACACATTGAGCACATACTATGCAGTGACGATTGTGCTCTTTTTTATTATTGTTTTTGTTCATTTTTTTTCTTAGAGTGAACCATATGGATTGGTTTAAGAGGGCCTAGCAGAACCACAACCTTACAGGCAAGAACAAATGTCACTTTCTGCTACTTTCTCCTATACCAATCCAGACTGTAGGGACGATAAACATAACATCCCCCAACTATAGTGAGCATTAACTTTATTTTCTAAGTGAGCAAGCATATTGACACTTGTTTTTTTAATAAAATGTGACTAAAAGTTATTTTCTCCAAACAATTGTTAAAAGACTTAAAAAAAAAAAGTCAGTATGACATTGTCACATCTAATTCAAAAGGGAGTCCTATATACCAAATTGTTTTAGCAGTGTGCTCATCTTTACACACAGGTTGTCAGCATAACCATGCATCTTCCTTCTTAATGAAAGATAAAGCCCATTTCATAAGATTTGGCAGCCAAAGAGGAATGGATATCCTACCTTAATTTAATGCATACATTCCACTACATCTGTCTGGTGTAATTGGTTTATCCTCACAGAAATTAATACATGGTCTTTGTGTTAATATATGGTAGCTTAATCTGTTACCTGTCTTCCTTCCAGCCTCTCCTTTTCTGATCGTATCTGCTGGCAATAGGGATGGCCCTACAGTCTAGAATGATATAGGGGGAGATAGCAGAACCTGAAGAGTCCATTCTTTCGATTTAAAAATAGCAGAAAGAGGTAGTCATAATGGATGTATTATTTTTTGTACAGCTCAGGTAGATAGATATGTGTATCCTTCCAGAATTAGAAATAGTTCAGATAGGCCACTGTATCCAAGTGCTTGAAGTATATTCTTTGTTTGCTACTTAAAGAAATAGCCATAAGTTGATTCTGTGTTTGATTTCTTGACTTATCTTAGTTCAGTATTATTTGACATTTTCTTCCTGTCCTTCAGAAATTCCTTCAGCTATTGAGAGCATACAGGTTGAGTACTGTTTTAAGCTAACACCCTTTTGGTTTAGCGACCACCCAAGATGAGCAGCCTTGCATGGAAGACATTTGCCCAGTGTTCAGATGGACTAGTTTGCGTGACTCTTGGATATCTTTGTGTTTAGTCATCTTTTAGCTTTGAAGCTATTTTGTCTTTTCCTGATTTGTTCATGTTATCAAGTCTTTTACATCTTTACCTAATACTTCTTGTGATCAGGGTTCTGAATCGTATTTAATGAGGAGCTGATTATCAAGGGCCACAGAGACTGTTTGGTATTATCAGCATTTAAACTCCTAAATTCACTTTGGTTTAATTAGCCATTGCTAAATTCCAAGTAATGGTAAACTGCCTCAAATTTAAGGATTAAAATATAATAGAAATTGTAATTTGGAAACACATTAAATGTTGGCAAATCCCTTCATGATACTCATTTAGTTTTCTGAGTCCCCATCTTAACCATTTGTGTGGAGGCTGATTACTACCAGATCTAACATTGAAAGTTTTCTTTGTTTATTGTAATTCCTGTGTGAGAAATTTTGAAATAATAAATCATTTAACAATTTACCCTGTACGATTCTCCAAAATCTCTTTAACTTCACCGTTTTAACAACTTTATCTGGTGCTTTTGCCACAAGTCTGTTGTAACAGACTATATTTATATTCTGCAAACTTAACTGAAGTTGAAAATACAGATAACTAAGTTTTCTTTCTCTGTGTTATTGGAAACCACATTGCTGATTGGAATTCTTTCTTTCCACTCTTTAGCCAGATCTTTTTTAAAATTAGAGGTTAAGGTAAAGTACGTTCATTCAGTTCATGATAAAATAATGAATTTTTATGTCAACTTTTTCCTGTGAAACCTAATATCAAGTTTGTAATTTGGCATTTATAAAAATTGCTCTCAAGTCTTATATTTGGGCACTATGGAATTTTGAACTGGATATGGATCAGTTGCAGTATATGTGAATTCTCTTCATCTTGAGCTTGTCCCTGACACTGGCTTTTTCTAAATAGAATTCTGTGATGCAAGGAATAACAATTATATTTTTAGAAAAAAGAATCAATTAAATGGTATTTTTAGTTTAATGTTACCATGATTGAATAGTAGTGCTCAATTTTGAACCATGTGTTTTAGACTTGATCTCATAAGATGATAATTTAATAATTTTTATATGACAGGCGCCTATGGGGACCTGCTGGGGTGATATCTCAGAAAATGTGAGAGTAGAAGTTCCCAACACAGACTGCAGCCTACCTACCAAAGTCTTCTGGATCGCTGGAGTAGTAAAATTAGCAGGTGAAAACCGTGCATAATAATTCACTTTATAAATCACTTCTTTGTAATTTGTAAGAAAGCATATTTGTAAATTTTAAAGTATTGCCAAGTATGATAAAGGGCAGAGGTTAGCAAATTTTTTTTCTGTAAGAAAAAAAAACTATATATTTTCAGCTTTGTGAGCAAAGCAATCCTGTCACAACTGCTTAACTCTACTATGATAGCATAGGAGCAGCCAAAGTGATGCATAAATGAATAGGCATGGCTGTGTTCTGCTAAAACTTTTTTTATGGGCACTAAAATTTGAATTTCATATAATTGTTACATATCATAACATATTACTTTACCTCAAATTGTTTTTCAACCATTTAAAAATGTAAAAACTATTCTGGAGGACAGTAGGCCAAATCTGTGGGCCCTATAGTTTCCTCAACCTCTGATACAGGGAAATACTTCAGAAGGTAACAAAAAGTACTAAAAAAAGTGATATGGTCCCATAATATCAGAAGTAAACTAATGATGAAAATTTCATCTATTTTAGGTACTACATTTTCTTCAGTCTCACCTCTTCCATGTATCCCAGCCCTTTTTACATTGTTGCCCATGAAGTAAATGTGTTAGGTATCTACTATGTTAGACCCTGTGGACAGGTGATATGCAGACTTAAAAGATTTCTTTTTTTGGTGAACTTAAATCTGCTAAATTTTGAATACATTTTATGACAAGGTGCTTAGTAAGTGGTATAGTAGGATACTGTGATACTTCAGAGGAGGAGCAGCCATTCAGATAATAAAGGTATCCTGAGATTACTGGAAGAGGTATCTTACTCATCCTACTCTTTCTAGTGTTATCTCCAGCCATCTTCCCAAAAATGCCCTTCCAGTTCCACCCTGTGTACTGCTGATAGACTTAATTTACCTAAAAATGATCTCAATTCCATTTTTCTGTCTTTAGTGGCTTCTTTGACCTTAAAGAATCAGGATGGTCAGCATTTACAGCTATTGTTAAGTTTCACTGTCCACCACTGAACAGATTTTTTTATTGTTCCCCAACATAAATGATCCATTCTGCTGAGATTAGTTTCCCTTCTCTCTCACACAGCATGTTCTGTGTCACCTTCATTCCTTTACTCACTCTCACTCTCTCACTTACCATATTGAACCCAGTACAGTTTCTGCCTTTTCCATGAAACATTTCCCCAGCTTATGTAAGTGAAAAAGTGAAAGTGTTAGTTGCTCAGTCATGTCTGACTCTTTGGAACTCTGTGGACTGTAGCCTGCCAGGCTCCTTTATCTGTGGAATTCTCCAAGCAAGAATAGTGGAGTGGGTAGCCATTCCCTTCTCCAGGGGATCTTACTGACCCAGGGATCAAATCTTGCATTGCGGTCAGATTCTTTACCATCTACACCACCAGGGAAGCCCCCAACTGTACAGACATTCTCTAAATCCCTGTATTATTCCCTGTAAGTTGTTTAAAACAGCAATATGTATTTTTTGCTTGATGTTTAAATTTTTGCATATAAATGGCTCTAAAGATCAAAGCATTTAATATTCAAGATTTATTTCTATCTTCCACCTCTGGTTTTATATTTCTGTTATTTATTTCTAATTGCAACATATATTTCATTTTAAGCCACTTTAGTGACATTTTAAAAGTGAGCCTGTTGGTGATCATGAACCCAGAAATTACAGTTAGCAAGTCATGAGTTGTTCTGTGAATTACTGAATTTTAAAACTAAAAGTTTAATGCTATAAATTTTCAAAACCTAAGTATTAATACATGAAGATGCTAACTAAACTTAGCTTCCAGCCTGAAATACAAGTTTATTGGGCATTTTTTATTCCACTGAAGACCTTAATGTTTTAATCTGTTATCAAGATAAGGTTTATTAAAAGGAATAAACAATAAAAATATTTTCTCATGTAACTTATTTCACTGAGAGAAAAATATTTTAAATAAGCAAAGAAACAGACAGTGTTCGTCAAAGACAAGCTTAAAGAGATGACAAAGCTGGTTAATGGGTGACTGTTACATACATCAGAGGGTTTCTTTGAGGAAGTGATATTTTATACTCTTACTTTCTTTACTGTTGTATGTATTTAATAAAAGTTTGTCTGTTTAAATATTTAAAAGATAAGGTTTATTAAATTATAAGCAGTATATATCATATACTGATCTTTCCAGGAAATAAGTCTTCCCATTTGTTTAGTGCATGCATGCTTAGTCACTCAGCCGTGTCTAACTCTGTGGCCCCATGGACTGTAACCCACGCAAGCTTCTCTGTCTATGGAATTTTCCAGGAGAGAGTAGTGGAGAGGATTACCATTTCCTACTCCAGGGGATCTTCCTGAGCCAGGATCGAGTCTCCTACATCTCCTGCGTTGGCAGGCAGATTCTTTACTGCTGCACCACTTGGGAAGACCCTGTTTGTTTAGTAATGTAGATTTTAAGTGATTTCACATATCTTTATTTGTGTTCATTGAACTTTTTTACCTGGTGTTTTTAAATCTTATTTCCAAATCAACAAGACAGAAAAATTTAAACTCTTAAAGTAGCCACACGCAAATTATCTGAAAATAATTTGGTCACCTGATCACTTGGATAAAGCAGTGTCTTTGAAATGTACTTTAACTGGATTTCTGTGACTTAACAAGTTTATATTAACTTACCACAATATTCTTTATTTCCAAAACTATGCATCCTAGTAGAACTTTTCACTCCTCTTTTTTAGAATTTAAGAAACCATGGGTAAAATTGAAATATATTCAGAGAAATAGGCCGTGCTCTGAAAACAGTTAAACTGATTTCATTGTTCAAATTATTCTCAAAGTTTCATCCATATAGAACTAGTGTCATCACTTCTGAGGACTTCTTAGAAATACAGTTTCTAAGACTCACCCAAGATCTGCTAAATGATTTGTGGGGTGTGGGGCCCAGCCGTCTGTCTGTTCACAAGCTCTGCACCTGTTGCAGATGCTCAATGACATTTGATATTCACTACCAGAAGCTATATTCTGTTTTATTTCATTTGATTTCCTTTTTATGTGGTGACTGCTTTGTTGGTTTCAGGTTACAATGCCCTTTTAAGATATGAAGGATTTGAAAATGACTCTGGTCTGGACTTCTGGTGTAGTATATGTGGTTCTGATATCCATCCAGTTGGTTGGTGTGCTGCAAGTGGAAAACCTCTTGTCCCTCCTAGAAGTGAGTAGTTTCTTTACCCTTACAGTAATTGAAGTATCTGAACTTTAATGCAGTTTCACAATTAATAACATTACAGTGACAAGTCACATAAAAATTAAAATAATATTTTTTTCTTTCAGGTAACTTATTTGCTAGCAAGACATACTTCTTTTCCCTATTTTTGTTACTCTTCTTCAGAATTTAACTGCAGGGAAATTTGTTAGTTGGTTTTTTTTTTTAAGCAAATAACTTTTGAAGCAGTTCTATTCTTTGCTGAAGTATAACTGGTTATTTCTTTTTTTTAGCTATTCAGCATAAGTATACAAACTGGAAAGCTTTTCTAGTGAAACGACTTACTGGTGCCAAAACTCTTCCTCCCGATTTCTCACAAAAGGTAACGACAAGATCTTAGAAAGGACTCAAGTGGCAAATGAGAGCTCTAAAAAATGGAGTAACTTCAAAGCTTTTTAAGGAATTGTTTCAATTAGTGAATCAAATGACCTATGTTATCTAATGAGTGCACTAGATATTTTTATAGTAGAATACTAAAATTATTTGTAGACCTTTGTCATGAATTCTCAAAAGTTCTGCTTTTCTCTCAAGGTTTCAGAGAGCATGCAGTATCCTTTCAAACCTTGCATGAGAGTAGAGGTGGTTGACAAGAGGCATTTGTGTCGAACGCGAGTGGCAGTGGTGGAAAGTGTAATTGGAGGAAGATTAAGACTAGTATATGAAGAGAGTGAAGATAGAACAGATGACTTCTGGTGCCATATGCACAGCCCATTAATCCATCATATTGGTTGGTCTCGAAGCATAGGCCATCGATTCAAAAGATCTGGTAAGCACCTGTCACAAGGATTCCTGTTGAAAATAACACTGAGACTAAATTGTACTACTTCGGTATTTTTCTCCACAGAATAGCAAATGTCAAAATCAGTTGCCTTGGGCTGCTTATTCTACCTTAATTAGGGAAGGCTCACACCAAAAAATTAAATGTCCTAACCAATTCCTTTATATTCCTTCCACTTATGCTCAAGTAAAAAATAAAGCCCTTTCAAGTAAAAAATAAACTACATTTGTTTTCTTACACTTTTTTATCCAGCCCATTTGAAAGAAAATCGCCTTTCCCTTTCCATTCAGTGTTAGTAGAAATACTAAAATTAAATGTGGTTAGACTTAATACTAAACACTTTAAAACATACTTCTAAAACTGTAATTCCCTAACTAGGGAATTCCCAGCATTCTGATGGGCTGAATGTATTTTATAGCACATGTACTCTAAAGAGATAGAGACTTTTAAAGAATATTATTCACCCTAAATGTAGAAGGCACGTATTTTTGCCATGTTTTAGAGTATACATACCTTGTGAGTTTGAAACCTTCAAAAAAACGTGGTTTTTGGTCTTCTCACAAATGCTGACAGATTAGTATGTAACTTTTCCTTGTAGATATTACAAAGAAACAGGATGGACATTTTGATACACCACCACATTTATTTGCTAAGGTAAGAAGTTTTTATAAGAACCCTCATTTGTAAATTATGTTTGAAAGAGGGTTGTGGGTTTTTTCCTAATATTGTGGAAATCACAATTACATATATTCACCTAAAAGGATTAAGACCTTGTAATCCATATGTGTCACAACTATTGATTATAATTATTCTTAAATTCTATTTGCCTGAATTCTCTCTATTCCGTAATGGAAGTTTGAGTTATAATATTAGGTAGGTAGGAGAAGGTACTTGGTATTTTCATCTTGTAAACTTTTTCAAATTGGTATTATTTTAATTATTAAACTGGTGAAACCTGTAACAATAGATGTGCTTTCGTGTAATTCTTTAGGTAAAAGAAGTAGACCAGAGTGGGGAATGGTTCAAGGAAGGAATGAAATTGGAAGCTATAGACCCATTAAATCTTTCCACAATATGTGTTGCGACTATTAGAAAGGTAAGAGAATAGGTTTTAAAATATAGAAATGAAGTTATAGTAACTAGTTTTAAAGTAATGGGCTTCCCTGGTGGCTAACTGGTAAAGAATCCGCCTGCCAGTGCAGAAGACATGGATTCTATCCCTAGGTTGGGAAGATCCCCTGGAGAAGGAAATGGCAACCCACTCCAGTTTTCTTGCCTGGGAAATCCCATGGACAGAGGACGCTGGTGGGCTACAATACATGGGGTTGCAAAAGAGTAGGACAGGACTTAGCAACTAAACAACAACAAATAGGAGAAGGAGGCCCCTAACATTCATTTTGACCTAAAATGTGTGCATCTGTGTCTTCACGGGAGAATGTCAGTAGTAATTGCAAGATAAATTTGAATTCTCATACCAGAGGTTTTCTTTGTATATATCTTATTATCAAGATTGTTATCTTGAGTTTGCTACTTTTATTTTATGGAAGTATATCCTAAGTTAAAGGAAGAATATTTATTTTAAGTTCCTTCCTAGTCAAAATTTGTCCAATACAAAATTGTAACAATGCTAGTTTATCCTGTTTCCTGTGTTTCCTTTTTGTGCTTTTTTCCCTCCATTGGTAGTACTTTATTGCTTCTTTTCTCTTTTTCCTCTCTTCTGAAACTGTTTATACAAAAAGATGTAGAAGAGTGGTTCTCAGTTGTCAGTAGGCATTGAAATCTCCTGGAGAACTTTAAAAAATATATATATATATATAAAATTGACTAAGCCTCTTCTCCAACCCCGCACTCCCATTCTGATTTAATCAATCTTGCATTGGCATTTTTTTTAAGGTCCCAAGGTGATTCTGAAGTACAATCAGGGTTAAGAACCATTGATACAGAATACACTTACATAAAGGTGTAATTAAATTGTGACTTGCATTTCAACACAGTTTTAAGCCTTAAAGTGAAAGTTGTTCATCATATCTTTGCAACCCCATGGACTGGGGTTGGACTACAGAGGGGGGTTGGACTACAGAATGGACTACAGAGTCCATGGAATTCTCCAGATCAGAATACTGGAGTGGGTAGCCTTTCCATTCTCCGGGAGTTCTTCCCAACTGAGGGATTGAACCCAGGTCTCCTGCATTGCAGGTGGATTTTTTAACAGCTGAGCCACAAGGGAAGTCCTTTAAGCCTTAAGCCAAAAGAATTAAAAAGTTATGATGGCTACCATGTCCTGTACACTTGTGTTCAAAGTCACACAGCTAAACCAGACTGACTCTAAACCCTTATTCCTCCTTTTCACCTGACTAGTGATCCAGACTCCCTGGTGCTATTTAAAACATAGATTTCCATGACCTACTGTAGACCTGCTCAATCAGAATCATAAGGAAGACTGCCCAGATATTTGTATTTGTTTAAAAAAATAATAATTAAAAAGTTCTCAAGGTGTAACTCTTGACAGTCAGCCAGATTTGGGAATCAGCACCATTCTGTCATGCTCTGTGTAAAAGAAAAATAAGTGTCCAGTGAGTAGAATATTAAGCTTCACTCAAAAAATACTTAAAATGAATTCTTGCAGTGCTAGGTTGGTTTGGACTCTGAAAGACTTACAGTCTTGTAGAACAAGATAAGATGTAGGAAAATGTGTTTAACATACAAGATCAACTATGATCAGAGATGGTACAAGTACTGTTGGAATTCAGATAAAGAAGAGCATCTTCTCAGAGGAATCAGGAAAAGCTTTGTGGAAGAGAGGACATTTGAAAACTTCATTTTGAAGGATGGGAAAAACTGGGCCAAGAAGAGATTCAGAAGGAACCTGTGCCAGGGAATGAGAATATACACAAAAGCATCAAGAGTGAAAGGTACAGACCACATTTAGGAAATGGTAAAAGGTTCACACACAGTACGCATCAGACAAGTTGCTTTGAATATTCTGGGCCAGGCTTTTTGTTTATAAGGAACAGAAACCCCCTCGAGTGGGCTTTAGAAAAGTCATTCTGAGGATACAGTGGGCACGTTCACAGACATAAAAGGACCCAGGGATGAAACCTGGAAAGGCATGAACTTGGTGCAGTCCTCCACCTCTTCGGGGCCTCTTTGTTCCACCTCTGCTCTGTGTCTGTGCCACTCTTCTTCACTCTCTCTCCCTACTGGTATCCTGCTTACTCCGTCTCCATATGGTAGCCTGTCACCCTTCTGTTGGGCTTCCCCAGTACCTCAAATGTAAAGAATCTCCTTGCAATTGTGGGATACCTAGGTTCGGTCCTTAGTCTGAGAAGATCCCCTGGAGAAGGGAATGGGAACCCACTCCAGTATTCTTGCCTGGAGAATCCCATGGACGGAGGAGCTTGGAGGGCTACAGTCTATAGTGTCACAAAGAGCCGGACACGACTGAGTGACTTTCACTTCATTCACCCTTCTGTATCACAGCCTTTCAGTGCCAGCTTCAGCCCATGGCTTGACTGCTATCTCTCTGTATGTTAATTCTAATTACGGAGAGAGAATCTGAACAACCGAGCCCAGCTTTTTGCGTGGTCCTCTGAAAGTGGGATACGAGCCCTTGATCCACTAAGCTGTGTTCAGAAAGGGAAAAAAGAATCCCGTATGAGTGGAGGTAGTCCTTTCTAGAGGTCTTAGAGCTGTTAAGATTAAAGAGAAAATCAGGAGAACGGAACATGCAAGTAGATAGAAAGATGATGTGAAATTAATTTGTGCAGTCTTTAATGCTTGATCAGGTTGAGTTTTCATTAGTGATAAGTTGGTAAAGCTTTCTGGCATGAACAGTTCAGTTCAGTTCAGTCGCTCAGTCGTGTCTGACTCTTTGTGACCCCGTGAATCGCAGTACACCAGGCCTCCCTGTCCATCACTAACTCCCGGAGTTTACTCAAACTCATGTCCATCGAGTCGGTGATGCCATCCAGCCATCTCATCCTCTGTCATCCCCTTCTCCTCCTGCCCCCAATCCCTCCCAGCATCAGGGTCTTTTCCATTGAGTCAACTCTTCACATGAGGTGGCCAAAGTATTGAGAGTTTTAGCTTCAGCATCAGTCCTTCCAGTGAACACCCAGGGCTTATCTCCTTTAGGATGGACTGGTTGGATCTCCTCGCAGTCCAAGGGACTCTCAAGAGTCTTCTCCAACATATTTCAAAAGCATCAATTTTTCGGTGCTCAGCTTTCTTCACAGTCCAACTCTCAGATCCATACATGACCACTGGAAAAACCCTAGCCTTGACTAGATGGACCTTTGTTGGCAAAGTAATGTCTCTGCTTTTTAATATGCTATCTAGGTTGGTCATAACTCTCCTTCCAAGGAGTAAGCGTCTTTTAATTTCATGGCTGCGATCACCATCTGCAGTGATTTTGGAGCTCCAAAAAATAAAGTCTGACACTGTTTCCTCTCTTTCCCCATCTATTTGCCATGAAGTGATGGGACCAGATGCCATGATCTTAGTTTTCTGAATGAATGTTGAGCTTTAAGCCAACTTTTTCACTCTCTTCTTTCACTTCCATCAAGAGGCTTTTTAGTTCCTCTTCACTTTCTGCCATAAGGGTGGTGTCCTCTGCATATCTGAGGTTATTTATATTTCTTCCGGCAATCTTGATTCCAGCTTGTGCTTCTTCCAGCCCAGCGTTTCTCATGATGTACTCTGCATATAAGTTAAATAAGCAGGGTGACAATATACAGCCTTGACGTACTCCTTTTCCTGTTTGGAACCAGTCTGTTGTTCCATGTCCAGTTCTAACTGTCGCTTCCTGACCTGCATATAGGTTTCTCAAGAGGCACGTCAGGTGGTCTGGTATTCCCATCTCTTTTAGAATTTTCCACTGTTTGTTGTGATCCACACAGTCAAAGCCTTTGGCATAGTCAATAAAGCAGAAATAGATGTTTTTCTGGAACAGAGTACATAGCAAAGGAAAGTTCTAACTGTAAGAGAGGAAATGTACATAGGGAAGGCTGAAAGCAACATAGTGGAGATAGAGTTAATGGCTAGGATAAAGGACTGAATTTTTAGGGGGAGTTGTGGGGACCCAGCAATTGATTGCCTTTGCAAGGAGCTGGAGAAAGAGTTGTTGGTTTGATGCCCTGTACTAACTCTCAGAGAATATGTTCAGCATGCAGGTAAAATGCAGGCCTGAGATACTGAGAGGGTGAAAAACTCATAATAAAACTTGAGAAATTTTGGCATAAAAGTCAACCATTGAAGAGTGAATGCCATCATGAAAACAAAAGAAAAGGGCTAAAATCAAAAACAAGAGTTGAAGGTGAAAGGATGGTTGCCAAAAAAATGTGAAGCAATGAACACAGAGGTGAGAAGATGGATCAGCAGACCATAATGTAATGAGAATCTGGGAATAAATGTTTCCAAAAATTGAGTAGTCAGCTGGTATGGGATATTGTAAAGGAGGCTGAAGTGTTGGGGAAAAGGCACTGGATTTGACAAACTAGAAGATCATTGCTTCCCGGATAGCTCAGCTGGTAAAGAATTCGCCTACAATGTAGGGAACCCTGGTTCAATTCCTGGGTCAGGAAGTTCCCCTGGAGAAGCGATAAGCTACCCACTCTAGTATTCTTGGGCTTCCCTGGTGGCTCAGACGGTAAAGAATCCTCCTGCAGTGTGGGAGACCTGGGTTCAATCCCTGGGTTGGGAAGATCCCCTGGAGGGGGGGCATGGCAACCGACTCCAGTATTGTCTGGATGATCCCCATGGACAGAGGAGCCTGGCAGGCTACAGTCCATGGGGTCACAAAAAGTCAGACACGACTGAGTGATATAACTTGAATTGGGTCTCTGGGTGAAGAGTATTTAGGAATTTGTACTCTATATACCTTTTTTTAAGTGTGAACTATTTCAAAATAAAATACTTTTGATGTAACTGGAATTGGGAGACATGGATAGGTTTGTCTTGAGAGGCAAAGGAAGGACTACTACTTAGATCAGTCTGGACTGTGAGGTCCCTCACATAGTTTCTGTCATGGAGGAGCACAGTTACCCAGAGCATGAAAGAGGTAAAGTTGGAGCTTGAGGAAAATAGAAGAAGTTTAGAAAAACTCCACTATGTGATAAATCAGAAGGATATGTTAGAGCTCCTACTGAATAAGATTTAAAGCTTAGCCGAGACTAGATAGTTAAATTGTAAAAGAGCACTCAGCCCTGTTTCATGCCACGGAAGAAAACAGCCTTGGCCATTGTCAGGAGCATATTTCCCTAGACCTCTAAAATTACTTCTATGTAACCATGCTTTTATTTCTGGCACACACTGGAATTTATACAGATTTTTTTTTTCATTATGATTTCAGTTATTTAAGAGAATTCAATAAACATTTCTCCCTTTTACGAGATCTTTATGTAATAGATTTTGCTTTCTTTTTAGAATGTCACTTAAAGGATCATTTTTATAATAGTGGTACCTAATTTTAAATACTTGGAATTCTCTTAATTTAAAAGGTGCTGGCTGATGGATTCCTGATGATTGGGATCGATGGCTCAGAAGCAGCAGATGGATCTGACTGGTTCTGTTATCATGCAACCTCCCCTTCTATTTTCCCTGTTGGTTTCTGTGAAATTAACATGATTGAACTCACTCCACCCAGAGGTACTTTTTTCTAATATATACACTGGGTATTCATCCTTGTTTTCTTTTTACATGGTACCTGTCTACACCATTTACCACAGCCCTAAATTTCTTTTTATTTTTAGCCCTAGATTACTTGCTATATGAAAATATAATATGTATATATAAACATGTGTTACATATGTATATGTTTATATCAAGAGCTGTGAGGTGTTTGAAAACATAAAGACCTGTAACCTAGCTAGCTTTAATAAATTAAATTGGTGTAGAATTTTTCCTGAGCATTTGTACATTTTATAATAAGAATTGGTATTCTCAAGCCCTGTTGAGATGATGATGGTAGGCTCACAGGGCTATCGCATACATAAATTTTTTTAAAAAATAGACTTTAGCCTTTGAGAGAAAGCAAGTTTTCATCTTTAGATTACTGTATGAGGAAGCTCCCTGGCATTCCAGTTGTTAGGACTTGGAACTTTCACTGTCAGGGCCCTGGGTTCAGTCCCTGGTTAGGAAATTAAGATCTCACAAGGCAGGTGGTATTACCAAAAAAAAAAATTAAAATTACCATATGACTTTTTAAAAAATGACACCTTTAAATAGTTCATATGGCTTAACCAGTGATTTTCCTAATTTCAATATGTGAGCCTTGGATTTTTCTCTTAAGAAGAGAAAAGCCAAAACAGAAGACTATAAAAACAGTATTTGCCCAGTCACTGTTCTTTCTTACAAAGAAATAAAAATATTACTGAAAAATATTAAATATTAGACTATTCTAAGCCTAGGATTGAAAAGCAAAAGTCTGGTTCTTGTAGGATACATGGGTGCACCTGTTTCTGTCTAGAAAACCGGGAAGAGCCATATAACAGGGAGTAATTATTGTACTCTACAGCATTAGCTCATGAGATTGTAATGTGTACTGAATTATTTTACATCTGCATTTTTATATTACACTAATTTTAAATGAACTTCTAGTTAAACTAGTTGTGTTTTCCAGGTTACACAAAGCTTCCTTTTAAATGGTTTGACTACCTCAGGGAAACTGGCTCCATTGCAGCACCAGTAAAACTGTTTAATAAGGTAAATTTAAATAAACACATACATATTAGTTAAACAGTGTAGGTATTTCCTTTACATAGGAGCTGAAATTTGTTTCCAAACTTTTTTTCATTATTAGGAATGAATGCATTTCCTAACTAGTTCTTACATGCTTCACCTTCATATGTTTCAATAAGGGGTTTTTTTGGTCTAAATTGTTAATTGGTTATGTTACTTCTCTTTTTTTCTTTCTTAGTGATGATGGAGTTATACATTCTTCTTTTCACCAGTGTTAATGTTTTGCTTCTCCATGTTAGGATGTTCCAAATCATGGATTTCGTGTTGGAATGAAATTAGAAGCAGTAGATCTCATGGAGCCACGATTAATATGTGTAGCCACAGTAACTCGAATTATTCATCGTCTGTTGAGGATACATTTTGATGGATGGGAAGAAGAATATGATCAGTGGGTAGACTGTGAGTCCCCTGACCTCTATCCTGTAGGGTGGTGTCAATTAACTGGATATCAACTGCAGCCTCCAGCATCACAGTGTAAGTTGGTATACAGAAAAGGTGTTCTTTTGTAAAAATCAGCAATTCTCCAAGCACTGTCTCACATAAATCATCTTGTGAGCTCACGTGACAAGAATATACCTATGTCTGATTGGTTGCCAGGTAAGATCTTACCTGATAAGACTCAACTGTGATATCACAGAATCAGACCATGTGTGCCATGGCAGTGTGAACTCAATAGTCAGTTGCTTAATGACAATAGAAACACAACATTAAGAACACCCACTGAATTAAACTAGACTTCCTTTAGTGAGTTTAAAGTTACAGGCTAAAATTTGTTAATATGTAAGAAGTGATTATTGAATAAATAATGGAATCTGTGTGGTATTGAGGTTCATGGTTTTGCAGGAACAAGTACCCTTATTTTCGAAGCATTGTGTACTTTTATAAACATCATGGTCTTGGTAAAGGTAGTTTATCTGAGTTGTATCAAGAGTTGTAAGAAATTATCTGATATCAATTTTCTTTATTTTTCAGCATCAAGAGAAAGCCAGTCAGGTTCATCAAAACAGAAGAAAAAGACTAAGTCCCAGCAATACAAAGGACATAAGAAAAGTGGGTCACCACATGGTGTTTATATACATTTCCTAACTTGTTAACCAACTGGGGTCTTGGTATCCTTGCATAGAAATGGTATCCCTTGTGAGACCTGATAACTGTGCATTCTGTATTATGCTTAAAGGTGCAGTATGCCATAAAAGGCAGACTTTTTCAAAATGAGAAGCACTTGTCTTTGATTGGCAGGAGAAATTATTACCATAATATTTAATAGATGGTAAAGAGTAGAGTCTATGAATGATTTTTGAAGTAATATGTAAACCTGAAAATTAGTCCTTTAAAAAATTTTTTTTATTAAAAATAAAAACAGTTGCTTGGTGCTTACAATAGACTTGGAGACTAAAAACTTATCCTTCTAAACCAAAAAACTCTAAAATGATACTTAAATTCAAGTTAAAAAAATAAAAGAAAAATGAAATTCAAATTGATAGTTAATGAAATCAGGCTTAAGAAAATATTAATATGCTTTCTGACAGTACTTCATCTTACAATGAATGATAACTGGCATTAATAGCCAAAATAATATAAAATATATTGATAGCTCTGATTCTTTTAAAATCTTTCCCCTTCCCTCATAGAAAGCTATATATGGATTTTTTCTCTTCGTGAAACTTGTCATGGACTATTTCATCTTAAGATAAAGTTACTTTGGTTGTTTTTGATTGGGGACTTAGAGCAGCCCCTGCAGTGGTGCTCGGTTTCTTCCCTACAGGAAACCCAGATCAGTCTCAACAGTGGTAACCGTCAAGACCTGTCTCTTACCCTCTTTTATTTTGTAGACGTAAGCCTCCCGTAGACCCAGAATTACTGCTTACTGGCTGCTTACCATGGTTGATATTTACCTAAAAGAACTCCAGAGAACATTGCCAGACCAGGCAGATTAAAGTGATTTCCAATTTATCAGGAACTGATTAGCAAGAAGTCATGTGGTAACTTCATGTTAGTGGCCTAACCACAGCAGGTGTGATCACTGAGCTTTCTCTCAGACTGAATGAGTACAGGCTGCTTTGGCCTGTCTTTACATTTAATTGGACAAGAATTTGAGATTTCAGAATTTTCTTTGCAATGTGTTGAATTTAAGAATGTTTTTTACTACTCAATGACTTTATGACACCTTTTAGAAGAAATTTCTGAGCATTGTATACACAGTTCACATACCTCTCTCAGTGTGACTCTTCCTGGGTTTGTTATGGTTTATGGGGTTTAATCATTTTGAATTAATAGGCTAGGGACATGGGAAGAAATATGAAATTAATGAAGTGATAATATCAGTGTCCCAGTTTTTAGTGACATTTAATAATGTGTGTCACTAAATGTCCCATTTAGTGACATTATCAGATTTCTAGATTAGCTGAAAAAATGAATTTAAAATTAGAACATATTATTTAATATTTTAATAGCTCTTAATATTGTGACATCATCTCTAATGCATTTAAATTGTCTTTTGGACATAGAAAAGATAAAACTATGGACTCACAGTCCCTTATTAGAAATCCTAGAGATCAAATGCACTTTGGACTTTAGAATTCTGGTTTTTTTTTTTTAAAAGAAGTACAGTGTGTGTAGCATATATTATGTAACACCCCTTGCAGATTCTGCGGCACTTTGAAGCAGAATATATATAAATAGTAACATTTAATGGGCCAAATAAAGATTATTATAAATAGTATCACCAAGTGAGGTCTGATTTTGTTGCCCCAAAAAAACTTTGAATTTCAGAATTCAGGATAAGGACTTGTAGTCATGAGTGAATGAAAAGCATTCTTCATTTTAAGATACTGTCTATTCTTTTATTTTTTCACATTACTCAGCAAATAGTCTATTAGAAATTTCAAAATAAGAACCTGGAGTCCAGGAACCTTGAGTCATCCATTGCATGAAGATTTTTGTCAGTTAGATAGACCACAAAACCTTTTTTTTTTTTTTTAAGTTTGTCTGCAGTTTATTATATCCTGGCTCTGTTGTTTCATCTTATGACTCTGGTCTTTCTACAACCTAAAATCATCTAGTGGTATGTTCTTTGGTAGGGCTTATTTTTTACAAAAAATAATTGATTGACTTCATTGTTCTAGCCTGATTTTTAATTAGCTGTGTTCATGCTGTAAAGGGATAACTATTAACTAGTGTTTTTGAACAATAAGAAGAGTCTTCTGTCAAGAGGATCATATCGACTGTTGTATGTATACACACGATCTGTCCAATATGAAAAGTGTTTTTTCCTCAAAGTTTAATAATTCTAGAGCAGGAAACCAGCACTCAATTCTGTACCATCTCCAAGGGCTGTTGCAAATAGTGAGAATTGAAGATTCTCCTTGCATTTTTACCTCCCAAGTGTGTAGTACATTAGACTTTTTCATCTAAATGAATGCTACAGGTGATTTTGGTTTGAGAGTTGAGTGTGTACTCATAGGAACTTGGTTTCTAGATCATTTTACATATTAATACTGTCTGACTTAGATTTGTCTTTTAGTTCTGATTTTGCAAAGCAAATTTCTGATTGCTCTTTCCTGAGTTATTTGTTAACTCTGGAATAAATCAGGTATAACTTAGAGTCACAAAGATCTGTAAGTATCCTTCAATTTTTAACCAGATAAATGGGGTATGCTTGATTGTTCAGTCTTTGCAAAGCTTAGAGTATTTTTTTGTTGGTGGTGAAAGTATTGTAAAAGTCTTTGAAAGCTATGTGTGCTAATGAAACTATAACCAAAGGCTGTTTCTAAAGAAATCAGATTGCTTAAGATCTTGCACGCCCCAAATCTTTAAATTTCAGAACTGCTTTTCAGAGTAAGAATTTTTTTCTAAAAGAGTGAATTATAAACCAAAAGTTAGGGAAACATATTTCATACCAGTGAAATTCTGCCATTTGTATAATTCATTAATTAAGCTGTTTGATTTCTCCCTGAAGGACAGTGTTTGGGCTTATATGGGCACAGTGAAATACCTACAAGTAGGGCTTTAAAATTCTCTCTACCCTTGGATTTTCAGTCCCCCTCAAACTAAAATTTTACTTCAAAGTAGTTAGCCAGCTAGCTGTTCTCCACACTCAATGCTCTCTGTCATTCATTTTCCTTTGTTTTGTTTTAAATTGATTACAGAATCAAGAACCAGGATTACTAGACTCAGAGAGACCAGAAATAATCTCCCTTATCATCCACTCCCCAACACACAGACACATACACACACACATCCTTGTTTCACACACACACACATCCTTGTTTTCAAAAATACCAACCTTGCATAGTTGGTTCTCTTTTCACAGTATCCTCTGCAATACAACCTTTCCTAGTTATGATACACTTTTCTTCCCACGCATGTAAGTAAAAGCTTACCTTAGTTTAACTTGATATTTAGAGAGGAAGATGCCAGTTGGGAAGAAGCCTGTCAGTTTGTCAAGCCTGCCCATGACAGGTGGGGTGCGGAGGAGCTTCTCTGGTGACGAAGAGTTGACTCCTCCTCCATATCGAACCCTTCCAGCACAGACAGCCCCGGAGGCCTTCCCACCTCCCTGCACTAGCCAAGAGTTCAGTCCCAGCCTCAAAACAGGTAATTAGTCACATCAACACTTCAGGTACTGCAGAGGGTCAAAGTCTGGGTTAGGGTGGTGGGAGACAAAGCATGGTCTCGCATGACAGATGCTGACTCATCAAACTTTTCTTTTTATTTCAACTAAAAAATTCATTTTCACTAGTCCTTGGTAGTTACTTCACTAAAATGAATAATCAGGAAAGGATTTTTATTTTGTTATAAGCCACTTTTGAGCTTCAAATTCAGGTAAAGCTGTAATTTCAGCTTACGGAATTTGTGAGATAACTTGTACTATTTCATGGTTTTGTTAATATGGTTGAACCTTTTGCATTGCAGAATTCTGTGTGACTTGACTTCAGGGAGAAATATGGTATAAGGGATCAATATGATTAATCAGATCCAAAAATGAGGCTTTCTTCATAGCATTCCATTAGCATCTCATTCAATAAACAGATGTGTTTTGTATTCCTGTGTAATTTTGGTTCTGGTAGTAACATTTACCACAGTCTTAGTTGGATAACATGAATTTGGAAATAAAATACCTGTACAATTTTGGTATTGAATTTGAGTGAAATTTATTTCTGTATGAACATGAAATATGTACAGTGATTAATGTTTAATTCAAGTTGAATTGGTTAGGATAAGCTGGTAGAGTAAGGAAGGCTGCCCTTTGTCATTGCTAAGAACAAACATGTTACCGTAGAATGTCAGAGAATCTTGACTTGCATATGATGAATCTTAGACTCAGTACAGATCAAATAGCATCCAGGTTGTGTCTAATTTGGCATATATTCTGCCATGTGTCCTACCTATTGCTTGTAAACTAAATTTTTTCATCTAATTTTCATTCTTTAAAAAGCCTTGCATTCCTTCAAATCCCTGTTGAAAACCCTGATGAGACTTAGTGTCTAGCTCTGTTTTCTTCTCATTGCTCTGTTTGCACCTGAAGTTGTCATCAGCCTTTTTTTTTTCTTTTAAGGATGTGATCTTTAGCTTTTGCCTTCTTAAACAGTATATTAGGTGATCTTTATCCTTCCCAGTCTGTGTCTCTGAAGATTACTCTCATATCTTTATATCTAGAAAAAATTACAGTACCTCTTTGTATAAGAAATGGACTAGGACTGCAAATCCAAGTTTATCTGCTGTTTAATACTTTCAAATATCAAAAGAGCATTTCAGCTCCTTGTTTGTCTTTTTAACTTTTTTTTCCTTTTGTACTTGTTATTATGAAAGTCTTCTATAACTTAATTAACTGTAGATATTGTGAACTCTGGATATATTTGAATTTTACAGCATTTTAGATGTTTTGTTTTGTTTTATGCATTAGACTGATCCTGAAGATGTGTATCACATTTTGTGAGAGAGCTTGACTTTTAGGATTGGTAAAACCGAGGAACTTGGAGTAGACAAACAGGGTAGAGCCCGCAAGGCCTCCTGATGACTTCCCTTTCCACTAGACTTTATCATGTGTGTCTTCTGAGCTGAGGGCACATTTATGGGACTTGGTGTGATTTTACTCTGGTGACACTGTGTAGGGACTGTGTTGCTGGCCTAACTATAGTTTGTTTTGCTTTTGGAAGAGTTTACTATTTATGGACTTCTAACTAGAAAAGTGTGATTTCTGTTTAACTCCTGAAATGTTAGTGATTAGAGTCAGCAAAGTAACTTCCTTTTAAAAACAGAGCCAAGAAACTGCATTTGTGTAGAAAGTGACATCAGCCACAGGGTCTATTTTATTTCATCCGTCATTCATTTACAATAAGGCCTGTAAAGAAGAAGTGATGAGTGTGAAGATACCAGACAGGCTTTATTTTAGGTTCCATGAAAACTCTGAAACTTTAGATAAAACATCCCACATCTCAGTGAATGTTTCATGTTTATCTTGAGTTACGTTTTTTAGAATATATTTCCATATATTAACATGAGTAGAAGCATAATCCATAACTTTGTTGTTAATAATAAATGCAAATAGTTTCAGGATGTGCTTTAGAATCTCAATTTAATTTTCTTACATTTAAAAAAAAAGGAAAAAAGAACATCCATTTGAATGGAACATATTTGGTCTTGAAGCACAGTAATTATTTTCTCATTCATTTAGCCATCTGATCATCATATAACAAGATATTGTTTTAATCAACCTTTTATTGTGGGTACTGCACCTTTAATGAAATTTGTTTTTTTTTTTCTTTTCCATGTGTTTATTTTCATGTCCAAATGTCTTTAATAATTAATGCATGTTGGTTTGATTTGAAGGATACTGTTATGTGTTTGATAGCCTCCATAAAAGCATTTTTTTCATATTAAGTAATTTTTAAAGGATTTTTTAAAGAAAGCAATCAGTCAGTCGTGTTTGCTTTACCTTTCAACAGTCTGATTGGTGTGTGTTTTGCTATTATTATAGAAATAGTGTATTCACTTTTCTGTCTCTGGACTTAAATTTTTTAACACCACTACCAAAGCAAAATAAAATGAATTAGCATATCTCAGAAGATTATGCTTGTTTTTACTCTTCCTTATTTTGTAAGGACTGTTTATTTGTTCTTGGCTGTGCGGTGTCTTCACTGCTGTGCAGGCTTTCCTCTAGTTGTGGCGGACAGGGGCTACTCTCTTGCGGTGCACAGACTCGCTGTGGTGGCTTCTCTTGTTGCGGAGCACAAGCTTCAGGGAGCGCTAACTTCAGGAATTGCAGCACATGGGCGCAGTAGCTGTGTCTCCTGGGCTCCAGAGCGCATGCCCAGTAGTTATGGTACACAGGCTCAGTTGTTCACAGCATATGGAATTTTCCCAGACCAAGGATCAAACCTGTGTCTTCTGCATTGGCAGGTGGATTTTTACCACTGTGCCACCAGGGAAATGCAGAAGATTATTCTTTAAATTACCAAATAAGATGTCAAAGACCCTTGTTTTTGAAACTAATCTTTTATAACTGAAATCAAGACACAAAGTGTTTTTCTATCATTATTTTGACTTTAAAAGTAGCCCTTTTATGGAATTCCCTGGTGTACAGTGGATAAGAACCCCCTGCGAAAGTAGGGAATGAGGGTTTGATCCCTGATCCTGGAAGATTCCACATGCCACAGAGCAACTAAGCCCATGTACCACAGCTACTGAAGCCTGCACACATAGAGCCCATACTCTGCAACAGAAGCCACCACAGTGAGAAGCCCATGCACTGCAACAAAGACGAGCCCCCGCAAGCCCAAACCGGAGGAGGCCCATGTGCAGCAATGGAAGACCCAGTGCAATCCAAAAAAATTAGTTTTTTTTAAAATAAGAAAGTAATTTTTTCTTCACAGAGTTCTAATTGGAAGTAAAGGGTGGGCTTTAGGGCAATCTGAAGTTACTGGCAAATTGTGTTGAGGTAACTTAAGAGATGTTTATAAAAGAAGATAGGAAAATCTGAGAATTAAACTGCCTAAACCTTTGCCTAAGACCAATGCTGGGACCAGCAAGAAAAAAGTTTTTCTTTCTCTTCTTGCTTGTCCATGCATAGAGGGAGCCCTCCTGTCACTAAAAATGCTGACTAGCATGACTTCAGTGGCTACCAAGAAACCTAAACCCCACTGAAAATACTGGAAACTGGAAAACATTTGTCTATAAAAATAAAGACCTATTGGAACATGACCTGTTCATAATTGAAGACTGCCTATACTGTTGTTTCTTTTCATTTAAAAAAAATAAAAGGTCTTCAGATAAAAATTTGGACAGGCAGTAAGTACTGCTATTAAGTGATCCCATTGGTAATGTTAGCCGTTTTTTTTCTGGTTTCTTTTTTAGCTGCACTGCAAGGCTTGCAGGATCTTAGTTACCCAACCAGGGATTGAACCCATGCCCTCAGCAGTGAAAGCAGAATCCTAACCCCTGGACGCTAGGGAATTCCAAGTGTTAGCTGTTTTATACCAGTGACTTTCACACTGCTGATGTCAATCAATTTCTATTTTACCTGAAATAATTACTTAAGTTTTTCTTGATTTTAGTTTTAATACAGATGTCTTTACTATTGGGTTTATTATTTATTTTTATAAATATAGAAATTATATGTAGATCATATATTTTATGTTATTTTTAATACTATTTTAAAATTAGATTTTATCTTTTTTTATGAAGAGTCTTTAACAAAGGTACTCCTTGGAGATCACACATTAAAGTCATATTTATTGTGTTACTTACTATAGTTCAGAACTATCCAAAAAATACATCATTTATATAGACATTGACATAAAAGTGAATACTTAATCATGAGAAAAATTCTAATCAAATTAGTGATCGCTATCCCCTTCAACATTTCATTGACGGTGTTCATTTGTGCAGTGTCCAATTTGTAGTGTTGTTCTTTTTTGAAGCTTTTCTCAACTACAAATACACTTTGAAAATTAAAAGTAATTAAATGCTCCTCCTTCAGGGGGAGTTAGTTTTAAAATTATTGAAGACATGAAGAAGCCTCTTATTAACTATAAAGCTGGTGGAACATGAAGATTAAAAGCAATCTGAATATTCCAGAAACACTTAATAACATTTTGTATATTTATCTCTTTCTTACAGTGACTACATTGCAGCTGAAAGAAGAGTTGATAGATGGAGAGGATTATAGTTTCCTCCAAGGAGCATCTGATCAGGAAAGCAATGGCTCTGCTAACTTTTACATCAAACAAGAGCCTTGAGGTTGCTCAGAAACTGAGGGTGGGAGGGAAAGAATTTTACACAGGACTGATTTTATAATCAATCCAGCTGTACAGTGGGGCTATTCTACTGGGACATTTTGCTAAACATAGAAAATTTCAGTTCCAGATTTTTCAAGTGGGTAGGGAAACTATTTTAGCCTTGGGGGGAAATTTTTCAATTTATAAAGATGGACAATTTTTGTGTTGTATTTGAAGCTTTTGAAAGAATTTTGTAATATTTTCCAAGTTTGGATTTATGTGCATTGTTAACAAGAATTGAAATTCTAACTTTTTTGGTAAGATTAAAGTTTAGGTAGCAGGATTGAAGGAAATGACTTAAGAAAGATACTGTTGTAAATGCAAACGAACTGTCATTACTAATGAACCTTTTTGGTACCTGTTGGGAGATTTTGGGATTTTTAAAAGTTAGGCCAGTCACATCTCCAGCTTCCTCTGCTGCAGAATATGCAACTGAATCCCCCCTGTGGAGAGCTCATCACCACATAAATCATGGAAGGGTAATTAATTCTGCTTGTTGGCATTTTATTGCAGCCCATTTTAAATATTTGTACAGAAGTGTTTCATTCTGTGAAAATTTATTTGGAGTTCTGTATGAAACTGGAAGAACTCTGGATACTTTTATATGTTCTCTTTTAATTAAAAATGAGTAAAATTATCCTAACACTAAAGTGTTAAACTGGAATAGTTGACAAGATATACAAGATCTCGGTCTACATGTTGAGGGATTGGGGAAAATGCAATATTGTCCTAAGTTTATTTTATTTTCCTTACTAAAAAATATCCCACAAAAGGAATTCTCATTAGTTCTCTGCCATTTCTCTCCATCTGTGAGAGAATACTTGTATAACTACACCCCAAAACTTATGTGTTCTGTACTACCAGGAGAATCAAAATTATTTTAACAGTTGTTTAAAGCCAAGATAAGTCTAGATTTCAAAATCATTCCTGCTCTGCTTTTGACTATCCTGGATTTGTTAGAAAACTAATTTGAAAGAGAATTTAATTTTCTTAAAATTCCATATATGTATGAATTGTCTTTAACTGTATTCAGATTTAATTTTAACAGTAATACCTGATTTGGACCATTTCAAACATTCCCTATTTTTAAATTCACATGGCTTCGTTTAAAAAAGGATATAAGGGTAAATTGGTGAAAGGTTTGCTCTCTGCATTTTTCTGACTGAGTTGTGACTGAATGAGAGAGCTTTAGCATTTACCAGTGAGGTTCATAAACTAAACTCTCAGGAATTAATTGCATCTGTTGTAGAAGTGCTTCTGGGTATTAGCCTGGCCTCTTCAGAGTGGTAATATTAACCATCTCCTCTGGAATATAGGTAGGGCTAATTAGAAATTAATCAAAATGATTAACCTCTACAGTCCTTCAGCCTATGGAATGCTTTAAAAAATGTCAATGGAAAGCCCCAGGAGACCATATTAGGTAAGATTTTTTTTGTTTGAATTTTAAAATGCATAGAACATTAAAAACCAGCAATTTATTTTCTAAAATATTGCTCTACTTTTGGGAATAATAGCATTGGTAATATGCACAGGTTTACCTCATTCTATGCAAGAGGGGTTAATATCATAAGGTTTTGTAGTTGCTACTGGAAGTAAAATTTGTTACTTTATAGTGTAAGAATGTATGGAATTGCATGTCAACATTTCTTAATACTGTCTCTTTAGGGGCATAAATGCAAGTCATATCAATGCCAGGTTGATTCTTATGTGTCAAATATATGTGAATTCAGCTGTTAAATTACTGGATATTTATCTTAAACATTACTGAGAGGGACCTACTGTAAATGTGACATAAACTTCCCAAATCTTCAACTTTTAAGAATCTTCCCATGAACTTACAGCCTGGAAGACTTCTAAAGCAAAGGTTACAACAGTCTTTATTCTCAGGCTCAGTGAATTTAAACCCAGGACTCCAATTGCATGTTATGGGCACAAGAAGCTAGTTGTAGCGTGTGCTTTAACAGTACCCTGAGCTTAATATCTCTATGGGGAACCGAATAAACCAGGAGGGATTTAATTTGGAGCCTGGTAATTAGTTCTGTGAAATGCTCATTTGTAGCCAGATTTTATAAGCTTCTAATTTTACAGCAAAGCCAGGCTGTTCTCAAATTTGCCACGTGTTAATATTTATGAAGTGTTTTCTTGTCTTAATCCCATGACCAACATGGTCATGGTAAGGACTCTGTACCAGATAAACTCAATCTGAAGCCCTCTTCACTGTTCAGGCTCTTAACTCCTACTGCCAAAAGAACAGAAAATGACTTGGTGGCAGAGGAGGTTTGTCTTAGCCACAACTCCAAGTGTACAACTCAGTAGCCCCGTCCTCTTACGGTTCAAATATACTGCTGACCTTGGGTTTGTTGTTGTTTTTTTTTTTTTTTTTTCCTGTTAGGATTATTTGGGGATTTTTGGTAGTTTAAACTCTTTAACTTTTTCCTTGCTGTGTATGAGGAAAGCTAAAGCTGTTATCAACTTCTTATTCTATGGATACTAACACGGGTTTTCAGTGTTTGTTTGTTTTTATTATTATTCATTTTGTGTGATGTGAATACCCTCTCCCATCACTATTTGTATTATGGTGCTATATATTTGGTAATGATCCTTTACTATTGGGAAGGGATTTTAAAAATACTGTGATTAAACTGGGTTTCTTCCTTTGATTTTCATATTTTAAATAAAGCCACAGTCATTTATACAAAAGAAAAGCATCTGTCCCTGGGCAAATCTTTTGAGGACAGAGGTCAAAGTAAACTGCATAAGGTTTTTACATCATTTCTGTATGTATTTGATATATAGATCAATATCTGTACAAATTTAATCTTTTATTTTCTTGGTAACTTGTGATCATTGAGAAAGTGTTTGAAACTTTCTCATGAAGTGTATATAATGGCGTGAAAAATTCCTTTGGAAAAATTTATGTTCCTTTCATTTTTACCAAATTGAAAATTTTCAGCATGGATGTGTTAAAAGCATTAAAATTATAACTTTGTGTACAAGATGAAAATAATTCACTAAATTTGCCCTTTTTTACACAAAATAAAATGTTAAAGTTAAGTTGCACATGAGCAGTTCTTTAATATGCTTGGTATTTGAGGGATTTCCTTTTTCACTCAAAATACTGAATGCCTTTATTTTTCCTTTGTAATTATTTTTTTGGCCGCACCTGGCGGCAGGAGGGAATCCTAGTTTCTGGACCAGGGATTGAACCTACGCCCCCTGCAGTGGAACTGCAGTCTTAACCACTGGACAGCCAGGGAAGTCCCTTGAGTGCCTTCTGTAAGCAGTCAAAGGCCCCAGGGAAAGTTGGATCAGTTCCTCCCTCACAGAACCTGTACTCTCATAAGGTAAGTCAGCAGAGGTGAGGAAGAGTTCTGAACATGTAACAAAAAAATTCCTAGAACAAACCTGGCACAAAATAAGCCTGTACGTAGCTGCTGCTGCTAATTACAAGTAGCTCAGCCAGGGTGCATGGGGATCAGGGATGGGTACCTCCACATTAAAATGCAGATCCCATGTTTCAAGAGAACAGCATCGAAACATGTATATTATCTAGGGTGAAACGATCACCAGCCCTGGTTGGATGCATGAGACAAGTGCTCGGGCCTGGTGCACTGGGAAGACCCAGAGGGATCGGGTGGAGAGGGAGGTGGGAGGGGGGAC